ATCTCGCCGAGTTTCTTGGTATTCTTCATTCAAGAGTTCTTGGCGTTCTTCTGTCGTCAGATCCGTTCAGGTTCCATAATGAGCTCTTCAATATTCTTTATTTCTCAGATGTGATATTTGTTACTCTTTTAGCTGCTTGAGTTTTCTTAATTATACTGTATCTTTCTTAGATAAGATTGAAATGCGGCCTACTGTAGATTTGTTCAAGCCATACTGCCCAGCAACATCAGACATTATCTGCCCATCTTTGCTATTACACTCTCACCTTTTAAAAATAAAAACCGACGCAAAACTTAATGAGTGCCCGCCCGACAGTCTCGCGAATACTATAAAAGAATTGTTTGTCAGAAAAATATAAGGCTGGAATTATAAGGGAGTACTGTATTTCAAAGTTCGAGGAATACTATCTGATCAGTATATATCGGATTGAGCGTCAACGTTGACGTCTCACGCGCTCCAAAAAGTTACCTGAAGACAAAGGAAAATCAATCGCTATTTGCTATTTCCGTCGCTTCTTTTTATGTTTGTTCGGTGAAGTGTTCGTTATCCGATCATGTGTTCGTTGTCCGATCATGTGTTCGTTGTCCGATCATAAAAATCTTTCGCAAAAGTGTTCGTTATCCGATTTGTTTCTTTAACTGATCACCCACTGTATTTTTCGTCTTTTTTTTAATTATAGGCAAAACAAGCTGACTGAATTGTATATAGTAGGTACGGACAGTTCGTACCTTTCAACTGATCGCGCAATTTATACTTAAATCAACCACTCAGATTTAAATCTGATAAAAGGTGGTAAATTTTTGATGATTATTATTGTATTTGTTATCTAGGTGGTAACATTATGTAAGCAAATGTATCGGCTCTGTTGCTTAGAAAACACGAGCTCATTCATTATAACGGCATTTTTAGTTCGATAGTACTGTACTTGACTAAATGGTAAAATAGTTTTCTTATATTTAAAATTGCATTCGGTGCCCCAAAGGAAAGTGTAAATTGAAACTTTATATTATATGTCTATATTTATTAGATTGAAATATATGAATAAATTCCCTTTACAGTATTTTGTCCCGCTGTTAAGTACTTTTAATGCTAATCTGTCCGTATTTTGGTAACTCTAGTATACAGTAGTTAGAATTCTACGATTTTCGATTTTCATATGAACAAATGTCACTTTTGTCAACATGAAAATCGAAAATTACAGTTTAATTTCTAGTCCTGTTTGATATTGATTTTTTTTTGATTCTTTCCGCTCTATGGGTACCAAGAGGGCCTATTTTTCATCCTATCGTTTGATTTCGGCCAGGCCCACAATGGGGACGGCCGAGGCCCGATATTAAAGCCATGCATACTCGGGTTTTGGGTATTTAACCACTCCCATTTGGCAATTCAAAAAAGAAAAAAAAACTTGCTAATATGTTATATAATTTCCATTAACATTTATTTTTTATCCGTTCAGTTTCTCGATCTACTGTACTGTATTGTATTTTTCTATATAAGTTAGTCTATTACATTTTAGAATATAGATATGTTATGAAAAATCATTTTAAATCTAAGAATTATCTACTCAGAAAAATATGCGAAATTTAGAAAATAAAAATAATGTTACCAATATAGTAGATGACATACAATAAAAGCAGTTAATTGTAAAAAATAAATTATTACTACCCTATCAGTATATATATCTGTGATAATTTGTAATGGAAAGATCATTAGACTAAACCTTTGTTAACAAAATTATATAGAGACTGGTACTATACGACATATTGTTGTAGCCAATATTATCTTATTACTCGTTAATAAAATACTATTTATTTTTTATTCTAAACTTATATTTTAAACCTTAAATTATTATTAAAAAATAAAACAAATATACAAGTTAGAATCAAGAATAACGAATCTTAGAAATTGAGAGGAGAGAAAAAAAATCCATAAAACAATGAAAGAAAAAACGATATTGGACTGGACTTGGTATAAGAAGAGACTTTACTGAAAGAAGTGACTGAAAGGATGATAAATAGGCCAAAAAAGGGAGTGAATAAAAATGATTGATATTCTGAAAGATGAAGTTATATAGATTTTAAGAAGAGAGAAATGGACGTATGCAAATAAGAGAAAATTCTGATGGCTTATTGAATTTGTCTGCATATAGAATTCCAAGAAATCTGTATAGGCTATCAAAAACAGGCAGTTTTCTCTTACACTAGAAACTTTTTAGCTTTTCTCAATTGAATTTATTACTATGATCAACTCCTTGCCCGTTCCCTTCATAAGTAGACTTGTAAACTAACTAGACTCATATCGGTTACTAAACATTTTTACAGCCTGCGTAGAATTTATTATTATTATTACAGTATTATTATTTTAAAGCCAAAACCACAATTTTTAGTTATAAAGCTATGATTTTTTTTGGCTAAAATTAGAGATATTTTAGTGAAAAACCGGCCACATTTATTTTCGTTCATATCATTTTTTACACAATAGAGGAATAATAAATTCTAAAAAAGACAATTCCTTCATCCAACCTGCATTGAAAATTTATTCATCCAACCTGCATTGAAAAGATTTCAAATTATTCAAGCTGAAATGAAGCCCTAAATTTTCTCCTCGCTTTATGTAAAATGAGGTGGATAAATCCCGAACTTTGTTTTGTTTTAGCCTCATCAATACGTTTTTGGATAATGTCAAGCTTTATCCGCTCCCGACTCGGATAAACCTCAAAATTTGTAGTCTATATTGTAACTTGCTTTAACCAAAAGAATTAGATAAAGTTAACATTAGCCGGTTTATTCTAGCTTTATACGATTTATGGACTTTAGTCGTGACATATAGTCTATATACACAATAAAAAACATCCGACTGGTATGAGAAATGAGCTCAGCTATTCTTAGCAATGAGGGTGTAGGCTTAAAGAAACAAGCTTAAAATTAAAAATTTTATCATTGGTAAAAATTAAGGATAAAGTAATACATGAAAGCATTCATGGAGAAGCAAGTTATGGCAACAAGAATGAGGAGGAAGGAATGGCATTAAATTAAGCTTTAGTAAACAACTTGGCAATTGAAAATATGTATTTTCAAAAAAAAGAGACGCACACATTTGATAACAAAAGTGTTGTAGGCAAAGTATTGATAGATTTATTTTCGTTAAGCAGAAAATAGTTGGGCATATTTTGGAACTGTAAACTTATTCCAAGTGAGATAGTTGCAGGTAAGCATAGATTCTTTGTCTTACTTGTTAGATTTAAAACTGTTCATTTCAATAAAAAGAGGAAAAGGCACAAAAAGAGAGAATGCAAGTTGGTGTGGTGATTGAAAGAAAACTGTGAAGTGTTTAGGAATGAACTGACGGAAGAGAAAGACTGGAACTTTGTTAGAAAAGCAGAGGTTATGCAGAGTTAGTTATGCAGAGTTTTTATGAGGAATATGGTAGCTTCAAAAAGTTAGGAAATATGCAAAAACTAGGGTATTACAAAAATAGGAGGAAATAGAGTGGATAAGGAAACATAATGGTGGAATGAAGAAATTCATGAGACAATTAGAAAGAAAAAAAGGCCTTTAGAAAGTTTGAGCTGAATAGAGAAGAGGAGAATACAAAATACAAAAAGGAAGAAAGGAAGAAAGTATCAATAACTAGTGCAAGCTATAGGAAATAGTAGCCACAGCTATTATTCACATAAAACTGATAGTACCTATAAGCTTATATATATATAACTAATATTGATTATATAAAGAATTACTACATAAATTATTAAATATCAATACAGATTTTCAATCCAAAATTTCGCGTGGCGAAGCAAAGCGAAACGAAATATTAGGACTGAACTGCCAACAGCGATCAAGTGCTTAGTAACAATAGCCTATATAAGTTGAATACTGTATTATGTTATAAGTAATGTATTACAATGAATTCTACATATTTCAAAAATATTTTTACGAATATTTTTTAAGTATTTATATACTATTTTTTATTCTTTAGTCTGCATGTCGTGTCACATCGCAAGGGAAATAATGCGCAAGGAGTATGTATTAAATATGTTTACAGATTAATTTAAAAAGGGGGTCGCGAAAAGTACCGTATTTTATGGCATAGTAGACGTACCCACATTTCAGCATAGAATACTTATGGAATAAAAAGTTTAGTGTTATTTACCATTATAATATTCTACTTGAATAAATGCAAAAGCTGCTTAATCTATAGCAAAAATAGCTTATTACAGTATATCGCTATACTGTATATAAAATCTAGCAACGAATTGCTTAACTTTTCCGGCAAAAACTTAAAATTTGCAAGGTTTGCATGTTAGGAGATTGGTGCTATATAATTTTGGTGGTTACAGGTCGAGGGATGGGAAGATAGATGGGTGTCACTTGTCATTTCTTCAATGTCAGAGGTTACACGAATTTTTGTTAATATAATTAAAGGGGATGAGGTTTGCCAAAGTACATCATTGTACAGTACAGTATAGTACATTACAGTGTAAAAAGTGCTCAAAAATTGTACAGGTAATGATGATCTAAATCCCAAAATAGAAATTTATTTATCGATTTCACGAATTACATTTTTTATTAATCAAAAAAGTATTCAAATATATCATTTACTAAAATATTAAAATTAAGATGTATATTTATATTCATTAACTTGTTACTGTAAAGAACCATTCAAAGTATTATATCAGTAACTCATGGGTAGAGAAGATTTATTTGTATCTGACGATAGGAGAAGGGAGAGTGAATTTTTGATGATTTAGGATTGCACCCACCATTTATTTTTCTCTCCAGTCATCACAAAATTAAAGATAATTCCTATATATTTGAAAATGATTTAATCTTCTGACTGATGACATAATTAGGGAAGGTATCTTGATTCCTAATGACTGGTGATGATGGGGGATCAAAAAACAGAAATTTTTGCTGATGTAACACTCGGACAGCCTCTAACATACATATATTATTTTTTAATTAATACTTGTATGATATTAAAATATAATAAATTCAACTTACATTACTGGTTTAATAGGCTGGCCACTTTTTATCCAATAGTTTTCAGTAGCACATGAAACTTTTCCATTTGAAATGATCATCTTTACACGAATTCAGCAATATGCTAATTTAATGTTTTCTTAATATTCTTCGTTTGTTAACACCTCCATTCTGAATTTTTTCATACTAAACAAAATTTCATTTTAATACTTTTCTTTTCGACGAAAACTTTAAGAGTATAATATAATCACATTCCTATAGAATACGAACAAATTTCAAGTATTGAATGAGTAATCCGTTCGACAAAAAAACAAAAAATATCCCATCAACACAAACCTCAAATGGACGATTTATGGACTTTAGTCGTGACATATAGTCTATATACACAATAAAAAACATCCGACTGGTATGAGAAATGAGCTCAGCTATTCTTAGCAATGAGGGTGTAGGCTTAAAGAAACAAGCTTAAAATTAAAAATTTTATCATTGGTAAAAATTAAGGATAAAGTAATACATGAAAGCATTCATGGAGAAGCAAGTTATGGCAACAAGAATGAGGAGGAAGGAATGGCATTAAATTAAGCTTTAGTAAACAACTTGGCAATTGAAAATATGTATTTTCAAAAAAAAGAGACGCACACATTTGATAACAAAAGTGTTGTAGGCAAAGTATTGATAGATTTATTTTCGTTAAGCAGAAAATAGTTGGGCATATTTTGGAACTGTAAACTTATTCCAAGNGACCGTTGTCCAGATATTCGATGAATAGACGTATTTGTGTACACGTGAAAGTTATTTAACAAACAGACAAACAGTTTAACAAATAGTACATCTACAGGCAAACATTCGTTAATTGACAAATAACATATGTATTGCGCCGACGTAATACAATACATAAGACCAAACTCTGCATTTAACAAGAAATTACTATATCATCTGTCGATTGTAGTTCTGCGAAATTAAGCCACACATGCGTACGTAACATTACGTTAGATTTTGAGTAAATTAATTAAGCTTTAAATACAGTAATTGCATTACGGTATTTATTAATGATGCAACGAATATTCGGTTACTATTCGGTATTCGGCCGAATACCGAATATGTAATCACTATTCGGCCGAATACCGAATACCTAAAAATGGAGTAAGAAATAACAAAAACACAGTAAATTAATTATTTTGGTAACTTATATTAATGTTGAACATACATTTCAAGTTCCAGAAAGCGCAATTTTTTGCTTATTTATGTAAAAGTTCAAAGAAAAAGTAATATAACTAAGTTATTTTTTAAGAGATCAAAAAAAGGTAACAAATCAAATGAAAACTATCTACTTATTACGTAGTCATCTATATACTTTATATAAAAGAGCAAGTCCTGATAGGATAATTAACGCAAAGCCAAAACTACTGGTGCAAGAAACTTAAAAATTTGAGGGTGTGTTCCTTTTGTAAAGTTTAGGCGTACTAAGAAAAGATTTTACGAAATTCAACCCTAAAAGGGTAAAGTAAAAAATTTGTATGAAAATTTTTAGTGCGTGGGCACATTAGATCGAAACTTAAGTCATAAAATGTGAAAAAAATAATAATAATTAATGATCTGTAGAGCGTTTTTATGAAATCATCCCTTATTATAAACATGAAAATTAAATTAACTTTTTTGTTTCATAGTACAAATTATTTATCATAACTGAAGTTCCAGACAGCTTGGTAACCTGAACGGTCTCGAGCTTTCGCCCGTGCACGCTAAGTGACTTTCATTACAAGCATTTAGCTTTCTGAAATCTATTAGAACAATTATTTGGCATTGACTGCCGCGAATTTCGCTCCAATAAGCTGCTTGACTCGTTCGATTATGTTATCAACTCAATTTCATTATTTATTTTCACATTTTCACTTCGCGGTCCTTCTCTGTTCTTTTCCCGTTATTTACATGTGTAGGTCATTTCATTGTTATCCACATTTGATATCATCACTTATCACATACTGCTATGACGCTCGTGTCTGTCCTCTACAACTGTCAAGAATTAACGCGATTGGCGAAGCGTAGTGACAGCGGGCCAATAGAGACCAGGCTGCGCGATCCTTGCCATAATGCTGTTTGCGTGCCAATTTTCGTACGTGCGTTAATCAAGTTTGGCCGAATATTCGGCTATTTGGCCACGCTCCTGGTCGAATATTCGGTATTCGGCCTGAGGCCGAATATACTATTCGTTGCATCACTAGTATTTATATTTCAAGAAACTTTAAATGCACGGTGCTTGATGTACCCAAAACACGAAAACAAATGATTTTCTAGTTTATCCAAAAGACTCCTGATCCCATCAAGTTCGGATAATCGAGTTTCCAAACCGAGATTTTTGCAGTTTCGTTAATATAGATCAGACAAGGAAATTATCAGTAAAAATAACCATTCTGCTTAAATCAGGACGGTTGACAATCCAACATATAATTATGGATCTAATAACTGTAGATAAAAATATAAATAACGATTACAGAATAGTTTGCCAGAGCCGTTTTAATCTATTCTATTCTAATTATTATAATATTTTCATTCATAAAAGATAAGTAAATGCAACCCTAGTTTTTTGTTTATGATTTAACAATAGATAATTATATAATTATTTTTTCATTTTTAATATTACTCTGTTAAAAGCCATACAAGTTAACTCGATCGTTTCACAAACAAATAATAATTTTACAGTAAATCCTTTTTTTAAAATTTATAAACTTTTAATCCTCATTTTACACTATATTTATATTCTCGAATATTTTCACCATCATTTTAATTTTAATTCATATTGAAATAATAGAAAAATAAAGCATCTCTTCGGAATAATTATGTTGATAATCAGAAAATTACTATTATTAAGAGCGGTCTTAATGAAATTAACCATGTCTGCAAAACAGAGAACGTGTCATTATTGACATTTTTTAAAATTAAAATATTGTACAGTATTTACATTTTTAGTATTATTATTTACAACAAAAAGATTCATTAATTATATATTAATCTGATTGAATTCGTTCCAATTCTATAACATATTTATCATCTGTGTATTTCTAACTACATTAGNAATTGTAGAGATTCCCAAGCCTATTAACCTCAATCTGGTTTGTATGTCATTGTAAGATCGTTGATCTGACATCCCCCACTTCTTCAAAAGATCTTTAATTAATGGAAGATATCGGCATTAATCTTCTTTTTCATAATAAAACATATCTCGCCGAGTTTCTTGGTATTCTTCATTCAAGAGTTCTTGGCGTTCTTCTGTCGTCAGATCCGTTCAGGTTCCATAATGAGCTCTTCAATATTCTTTATTTCTCAGATGTGATATTTGTTACTCTTTTAGCTGCTTGAGTTTTCTTAATTATACTGTATCTTTCTTAGATAAGATTGAAATGCGGCCTACTGTAGATTTGTTCAAGCCATACTGCCCAGCAACATCAGACATTATCTGCCCATCTTTGCTATTACACTCTCACCTTTTAAAAATAAAAACCGACGCAAAACTTAATGAGTGCCCGCCCGACAGTCTCGCGAATACTATAAAAGAATTGTTTGTCAGAAAAATATAAGGCTGGAATTATAAGGGAGTACTGTATTTCAAAGTTCGAGGAATACTATCTGATCAGTATATATCGGATTGAGCGTCAACGTTGACGTCTCACGCGCTCCAAAAAGTTACCTGAAGACAAAGGAAAATCAATCGCTATTTGCTATTTCCGTCGCTTCTTTTTATGTTTGTTCGGTGAAGTGTTCGTTATCCGATCATGTGTTCGTTGTCCGATCATGTGTTCGTTGTCCGATCATAAAAATCTTTCGCAAAAGTGTTCGTTATCCGATTTGTTTCTTTAACTGATCACCCACTGTATTTTTCGTCTTTTTTTTAATTATAGGCAAAACAAGCTGACTGAATTGTATATAGTAGGTACGGACAGTTCGTACCTTTCAACTGATCGCGCAATTTATACTTAAATCAACCACTCAGATTTAAATCTGATAAAAGGTGGTAAATTTTTGATGATTATTATTGTATTTGTTATCTAGGTGGTAACATTATGTAAGCAAATGTATCGGCTCTGTTGCTTAGAAAACACGAGCTCTTCATTATAACGGCATTTTTAGTTCGATAGTACTGTACTTGACTAAATGGTAAAATAGTTTTCTTATATTTAAAATTGCATTCTGTGCCCCAAAGGAAAATGTAAATTGAAACTTTATATTATATGTCTATATTTATTAGATTGAAATTTACAAGTATTTTCTCCCGCTGTATGAGTACCTTTAATGCTAATCTGTCCGTATTTTGATAACTAGTATACAGTAGTTAGAATTCTACGATTTTCGATTTTCATGTGAACAAATGTCACTTTTGTCAACATGAAAATCGAAAATCACAGTTTAATTTGTAGTCCTGTTTGATATTGATTTTTTTTTTCATTTTTGATTCTTTCCGCTCTATGGGTATCAAGAGGGCCTATTTTTCATCCTATCGTTTGATTTCGGCCAGGCCCACAATGGGGACGGCCGAGGCCCGATATTAAAGCCATGCATACTCGGGTTTTGGGTATTTAACCACTCCCATTTGGCAATTCAAAAAAGAAAAAAAAACTTGCTAATATGTTATATAATTTCCATTAACATTTATTTTTTATCCGTTCAGTTTCTCGATCTACTGTACTGTATTGTATTTTTCTATATAAGTTAGTCTATTACATTTTAGAATATAGATATGTTATGAAAAATCATTTTAAATCTAAGAATTATCTACTCAGAAAAATATGCGAAATTTAGAAAATAAAAATAATGTCACCAATATAGTAGATGACATACAATAAAAGCAGTTAATTGTAAAAAATAAATTATTACTACCCTATCAGTATATATATCTGTGATAATTTGTAATGGAAAGATCATTAGACTAAACCTTTGTTAACAAAATTATATAGAGACTGGTACTATACGACATATTGTTGTAGCCAATATTATCTTATTACTCGTTAATAAAATACTATTTATTTTTTATTCTAAACTTATATTTTAAACCTTAAATTATTATTAAAAAATAAAACAAATATACAAGTTAGAATCAAGAATAACGAATCTTAGAAATTGAGAGGAGAGAAAAAAAATCCATAAAACAATGAAAGAAAAAACGATATTGGACTGGACTTGGTATAAGAAGAGACTTTACTGAAAGAAGTGACTGAAAGGATGATAAATAGGCCAAAAAAGGGAGTGAATAAAAATGATTGATATTCTGAAAGATGAAGTTATATAGATTTTAAGAAGAGAGAAATGGACGTATGCAAATA